GGCCACGTCAGGATTCGAATTCAGAACTGAGATGGTCATCAATAATAATAAGTGTGATTTACCTGATTGGTGTGACACTGAGGACGGGCTTTGTCATTCGGTTACATGAACTGGATGAGCTAAAATGTGCAACTCCAAGGTTTTAACAAAATAGGTCTTTAAGCCAGGTAGACAATACACAAGATGCAGGAAAATAAATCTTTCAGAACGATTTAAACATATCATGAAAATTTGGAGCTGTTTATCTAAAAATGTGTATCCCCAAAAGAGATTACATAGTGTTTCAAAAATCTTTGATTACATCAACATGGATGGGACTGGAGGAGATTATGCTAAGTGAAATAAGTCAAGCAGAGAAAGTCAACTATCATATGATTTCACTTATTTGTGGAACGTAAGGAATAGCTGGACACTAGGAGAAGGAAGGGAAAAATGAGGTGGGGGAGTTGGAGGGAGAGATGAACCATGAGAGACTATGGACTCTGAGAAACAAACAGGGTTTTAGAGGGGAGGGGGGGTGGGGATGGGTTAGCCCAGTGATGGGTATTAAGGAGGGCACGTACCGCATGGAGCACTGGGTGTTATACGAAAACAATGGATCGTGGATCACCACATCAAAAACTAATGATGTATTGTATGGTGACTAACATAACACAATAAAATTTTAAAAAATAAAATAAAATAAAATGTTTAAATAAATAAATAAATAAAAATCTTTGAGGGGCTCTACAGGCAAAAAGGTTGAGGCCACTGCCTGATTTCCCGGACAAGGGGCTCGAGAGGGCAGAAGGAGCCCACACCCCAGGTGTCTGGGACCAGGAGGAACCACGCGCAGCCGAAAGCCCAGGAGGATACACTGGTGAGAGGCGCACAGTAGGGCGGGGCACCCTGTTACTGAGAGATTATCTAACACGCACCCCGTAGGTCCTCCTCCCTCCCACCTTCTGCCTCTTTTGTATTTCCAAGACATTTCTTTGGATTTCCTATTGTGTTTACAGAACCAAGAGAAGTAAAAGGCTTTTTTTTTTTTAAAGGAAAGGTATACAAGTATCGAATCATGATGTTGTGCATCTGAAACTAATACAATGTCCATTACACCTCAACTCAAGATTGTTTTTAAAAAGAAGGTGATCAAAAGACTGAGGAAGGAATTCTGAGACTGCACAGAAGATGAACAAGAGCAATCAAAGTGATTGGGAAATTAAAAGAACTAAAAAGGCAAAAGAGAAAAAAGGAAGAAAGAAAACAAAAACCAAGAACAACAATCATCAATTACTGTTTCCCTAAAGAATCTTGAGGGGAAAAAAGCTAGGCTTTCCCTTTCCTGAAAGGAAGTCCATGAATTCAGGGGGACCCCTCAACTTGGGCAGGAAAACCATCTTTCTTGTCACTAGCCCCCAGCTGCAACTCACCATTTCCTTTCACGACAAATCTGGGCCCTGAACCACGGGAGTATTGACAGTTGCTGTGGTTCGATCCCAACACAAATCACAGACACGTTCATATTCCGTTGCGAGTTGCTACAGATATCTTGAAATATTATTTATCCTTCTCATGACCTCAAAATGATGGTGGTTTTTAAACCTGTGCTGGATCTTATCTAACTCATTAATTAAAAACCAGTATTTACTCTATCACAAAAGAGTTGTAAAAAATATTTTGGTAACTGTCTATCCATATGACTGATTTCCTTTGTAATCCCGTGGATTTTATTTTATGCATTTAAAAATATTATTCTGAAAACGGGTCCACAGGCTGCCAGAGGGGTGCCTTGGCCCCCCAAAATGTTCAATAGCTCCTGCTTTAAAGCCACGCTCCAAAAAAAGAAAAAAAAAAAAAACACCACTTTTTAAGTGTTTATGGTGACAGCAGGCTGCAGTGGCTCAGGAGGGACACAAAGTAGCAGCCACACTGGAGAAATGGCGTGAGGACAGGCCGAGGACCCTAAAGACCCCGAGGGAACTGCTGGTCACACTCTGGGTCTCAGTGCACGAGAAGCCTTTCCTGTGTTTAGCACATGGACCAGTTCAAACCTGGTGACTAAGCACCCAGTGCCCCGTGTTCTTCTAACACATATTCGAGACCTGGAAAAGCCACTGGAGAAAAGTCATCTCAGGACTCCTGGTTTCCCGCAAAAATCTCAAGTGCTGCTTGGCGTTCGATCCCAGCAAGGACCTAGGATGGCAAAAGTCGAGCTTGAATCCCATGCCACAGCCTCCCTCCAGCTTTTGCTGGGTTCAGTGCCTGAGATCACCACAGAAGACAGACACCAACCTCACTCCGAGTTCATACCAGTAAGGAAGCCAGAAAGAAGAGTATCGGAAGTCAGACTGCCCTGAGACTGAGAAACTGGATTAAAATAATTCAGTGAAGGGGCATGCAACTCTTGATCTCGGGGTTCTGAGTTTGAGCCCCATATTGGGTGGAGATATTACTAAAAAAATAAATAAATAAAATTTTAAAAAATAATAGTTCAGTGTAGCCGGCAGCATGAACTACCTGCTAGAACAGTAATTTTATTCCCACCATTTCCCACCCAGAGGAAACAAGGAAACTCATTTTTTCTGGACAAGGGGGACAAGGGGAAGCCATTTTTCTTGGGAAAGTGGGGGAGTGATGGGAAGAGAATGAACTTGGAGGTCAGAGCTGCGTTTGACTTGGGGCCCAGGGAGAGCTAATAAACATTTCCGTGCCCCAGTCTCCTCGTCTATAAAATAATGCTGACCTGCCAGGTTGCAGGAGGACGGGAAGGCCCACCAATCTCGTGCTCTTTCCTTCTTTCATAATAAAATAGAGAAATTCTTCCCAAGAAAGGCAGCAGGGCGTATTTCCTCAAGAGAAGACTACAAAATTAGTAAAATCGTATGCTTTTTAGAACAAAGCCAGTCTTTCTTCTCTTCAGAGCAAAAATTCTGTTGAACAAGCCCGTGTTCAGCAGGGTTCTCCCCTGGGCTTCAGAAACCGGGAGGGGGGGTAGGGGCAGGCTGCCCAGGAGGGAAACTGAGGCTCAGGGCTCCACGCGCACTTGACAGCCGCAGATTGAAGAGCTCGGGATTGACTTGTTGATTGGTGCCAGAAGCGCTTCCCCCCTCAGATTAAAGCACCCACAGATTAAAGCACCACAATTTTGCCAGGTTTTGATCTCTGTTGGCAAACAATGATATGTTTTTAATCATTCATTTATGAATTCAGTTTTCTTACTTTCCTTTCAAAGTACAAATTCACAGTAAAATACTTGAAAAGCCTTTTGGCTTCTTTTTATTTGTTTATTTTTCTCTTTCCATTCAAATGAAAATAACATTCACCCATCCCAGTAATAGCTCACATCCGAGAGTGCTTTATGCTTTTCAGAATGGTTTTGCGTTCAGAGCCTCTGACGGGCGTCTGAGTTGCTCTCAGCTCAACTGTCCCTAACCTGGTTACACACTTCCGTGAGCCAACACAGCGCCTGGATATTGCCAAACCCAACTCATCCTTGACATTGCCGCTCCTTCCCAAGTGTCTCTGGTGGTGCTCTTTTATTTGTAATGCTTTTGCCAGCAAACATCAACAGTCCCCTTGAACCCTTTCGGGATTGGCCTTCGGTCGGCTCATCTTTGATTTTCAGATTCATACATCACTTGGAAACAAAGCTTTGCTACCCTATGGAAACCACAGTCTTCACCCTCTATGTGAAGCGAGCCCTGGGCTTATTCACAGGGAGCTGCGAGATGGCTCTGTGGTCTTCTGGATCCATACCCACCAGCAGTCACTCCCTGTTTCCTCCCAGCCCAGCCCCCCCGACCCCCACCCCAGCAACCGCCAATCTGTTTCTGTCTGTAGACTTGCCTATTTTGGACATTCGTAACAATGGACTCCTACAACATGTGGTCTTCTGTAACTGGCGTCTTTCACTTAGCACAGTGTTTTCAAGGTTTATCCATATTATAGCATGGATCAATACTTTATTTCTTTTTATTGCTGAATTGTATTATATGGGGAGACTGCATTTTATTTATCCATTCATCCAGTTGATGGACATTGGGTTGTTTCCACTTTGGGGCTATTGTGTATAATGCTGCTCTGAACATTCATGCACAAGCTTTCGTGTGGACACATGTTTTCCTTTCTCTTGGGTACTTACCCAGAAATGGAATTGCTGGGTTATTTCCAATGTTTTTAAGAATCATGCTACTCTTTCGCCCCATTACTCATTTAATTCTTTTCAGGCTTTTATTAAACAAGTATCCAGAGGTGTTTATGAGGTTGTTAATTAGCAGTAGCAACAATAAACCCCAAATTTTCAATGTTATAACATTCTCAACATTTACTACTCACTCACAAAACAGTTTAACGTGGGTGCTCCTGGTCAGCAGCCAGTTGCCCCGTGAAGTCACTCAGTGTCCCAGGCTCCTTGTATCTTGTGGCTCAAACATCCCCTCCGCTTCAAGCTAAAGAAAAGGGGTCAGGGGGCATGGAGAAGGAACATCTGCTTCTAAAAACCACTATTCCAGGTTTTTCCATTGACGAGAACTAGTCCCATAACTCCATCCCAATGCAAGTGGCACTGGGAGAGATGTCTCCAGCGGGGCAGCTGCTGGTTCTCAGAAACAGCTTTGTGCTATGACAGAAGGAGCATGAACTATTGGTGGTCAGCTGACAGACTGCCACACCGGGGTTCAGGAAAGGCTGTTTGTTGGCAGCCAGAGGGCACAGGGCAAAAGATTTGAGCCAGGATCTCAACAAGGTCAAGAAAGGGGATTTCTCTCTCTCTCAATCTCTCTGCCCATTGCGTCTTCTTAGAAGGGAGTTGTGCCTGTGTTCAATGAGACACTGAAATAGGAGCAAGAATTGTTAAACATAGGAAGCTAGCTGCCTTGAATGCACCCCCATACGGAGAGGTCAGCCATGAACTTCTAGGTGCCTGGCATTCATTTAAATGGTCTTCTGCTGGGAGCACTATAGACCCCTCTGTCTTCTGGTAGGACTGTCCAGGGAGGGGTCCCACTGCCTCTGGCCAGAGGATGGATCATTGACCCAAAGTAGACCAGGTTAACCCTTCTCCATGGAACTGGAACCTTCAGCAATGTGATACAAAAACGGACACCCCCTGAGGGTGGGATCCTGAGGAGGTATTGTGCATTCTTTTCTTCTTGGATTCCTGAATGGTGCTGAGATCCTGGTGTTTTGGGAGCCTTGTGTGTCAGCTCTGACTCTGTCGTTTGCTCTGCAGCCCTACAATAAGGCTTGTTAACTAAATCAGAGTTGTTTCTTTTCGCTGGCAACAAAGAATCCCAACCAATACTCTACCAGAGGCAGAAGCCCGAGGCTCATTCCAACATCCTTTCAACGTTCTGCATTCAAGTCCTATTGATTCTGTGTCTTACGGAGTGCTCAGATCTGTCTCTTTGCTAATAGAACCTCCATGGCTGATGTTGAGGTTCCCACCATTGTCCACCTGAACTTCACAAGACCCCCTAACTACTACCTTCCTGTCCCCATGGAAACTTTTCTAACATGCAAGTAAGGGTTTAAAAAATGACAATACCACCATCAATGCAGTGAAATGATGCATTCATATATTACTAGTGGGGTTGTAATTTTTATAACCTTTTTGAAAGGCAATTTGGCCATATGTATTGAGAGCCATTTAAAAAAATAATACATCCTCTGACCCAACACTTTCACTTGCAAGAATCTTCTTCCTAAAGAAACAGAGAGATATAGATGTATGCATGACAGTGTTCTCTGAATCATTCATCCATCCGTTTATTCAACCATAATATTGAATGCCCACTCTATGCCAGCCACTATTAGTATTACTTTTAATAACAAAAAAGAATTGTTCAGTTAGTGGAAATCAGTTATGGTTGTATGATAGAATAAAAAAAAAGAACACTATATAGTCATTAAATACCATATTTTTAGAAGAATAATGACATGGGAAATTCACAGTAAAGGAAAAAAGCCAGTTCCAAAATAGTGTATAAAGTATAATCTCAAGTTTGAAGAGAGAAACACACACACACACACACAGTACCCACCAAAATGTTAACAATGGCTATTTCTAGGAAGTGAGATTATGAGTGATTTTTTTTTTTTGGTCCATGTTTTTATATATTTCCAATTATTAACAATAAACAGGGAAAATTACTACAAAAATTACTTAAAAAGCAATAAGCAAATATGATCATGCTCCCATTCTATATAAAACCCATCAACAGTTCTCCCCCTGCAGAGTAAATGATACAGAATTAGCTCTTCCAATGTCTCCAAGCCCCCCACCTGTCCCATTTCAGCTCACCCACCACTGCAGAGCACACCATGACCTTTCACACCTCGGGGCCTTCCCTACATCCCCACCCCTTTGGTCCCTTTTCCTGCACTGGCTCTGTGTCTTTGCTCATTCAACAAACACTCATGGGGGGCCATTCCTGGGCCAGCCTCTGTCCTAGGCACTAAGAATATAATGGTAAAGGAGTGCCTGGCTGGCTCAGTCAGTTAAGCATCCAACTCTTGGTTTCGGCTCAGGTCATGATCTCCAGGTTGTGAGATCGAGCCCCGCATCAGGCTCCATGATCAGCAAAGAGTCTGCTTGAGATTTTTCTCCCTCCCTCTCCCTCTGCCCCTCCCCCTGCTAGCGTGCTCTCTCTTTCTCTCTCTCTCTCCCTCTCTCATAAATAAATAAAATCTTTAAAAGGAAAAAAAAGACTGAAATCAAGGTGTCAGCAGGACTGGTTCCTTCTGGAGGCTCCAGGCAGGAGTCCATTTCCCTGCACTTTTTAGCATCTAGTGGTGACCGGTGGCCTCCCATGTTCTAGTGGATTCCTCCATTTCCAAAGCCAGCTGGGCAGCATGTTCTCTTGTCTTTGAACATCTGTGTATCTGTGTCCATCTGACAAGGACTCTTGTGATTGCATCTGACACACCCAGATAATCCAGGATCATCTCCCCATCTCAAGATCCTTACTTTAATCACATCGGCAAAGTCTGTTTTGCCATATGAGCTAAATAGTCACAGCTTCCAAGGATTAGAACATGAACATTTTGGGGGGGCCAGTACTCAGCCTACCATATGTGGTGTGTCGTATGTGTTGAATGCTATGGAAAACAAAAAAAATAAATAAAAGGCTGAAAGTGCTGTGGAGGAAAGGTAACGAGTTTGCTCTTTATAGGGGGGAGTCAGGCACAGCCTCACTCGTCAGGTGAGGTTCGCGCGCAGACCCCAACACTCTTGGCATTCCCGTGGTTGTCCTGGCAAAAAAACATTCATTTTCCAAGAACTCGTTCAAGGATCCCTCCTCTGGAAACCACAGGTCGATGACTCCATCGACCACCTCCCTGGTGGGTTAGTGTGACCAAGAGTATTTCCATATGTCCCACTATCATAACGCTTGGCATCCTGGGTGATCATTTTTGGGCTTTCCCTAAGAGCTTCTTTATGAGCTTCTTTAGGGCAGAGTCAATGTACTGTGACCGTTCCCCCCCCCCCCCCCCCCCATCAACACAGCACTAGGCACAGATGTCCACTGAATGGGTGTAGAGCAGGTGAAGAAATGAGAGAGAACTCGACTTGGAATCAAATGTGACCCCCAATTCTGCTGCCCCCCCCAGCAGCCCATGGCAAGTTATGACAGCTCCCCATCTCTCTCTTCTCATCTGTGAATGAGATGACAATGTCACCTGCTTTCCAGGATGAATCCGGGAATCCAGTGAGGACAAAGTATGTAAAACTTCTAGTGATTGGCTTGAAGGAGTCCCATTAAATTATATAAAAGCTGTGTCGTAAAATTGGAGGCGAAGAGCAGCCAAGGGAAAAGTACATTTTGACAACTTGTGACCAGTTGCTTGAACTTAAGCTGAGGCTCTAAGCTGAGCGCAGACACTTCCCTCCCCGGCCTAAGCAGGAACCTGGTCTCATGTTGTATCTCCCATGGGGCCTAGAACATACTTGTTCAGCCCACCGAGTATGGAAGGTGCTGCCCGTGTGCCAGGAACTGTGCTGGCTGCGGAGGGTACACAGTTGACCTGAGAGACAGACCCATTTCCTGGCTCACAAACAGGACATGCACTAACTAGCACAGAAGCCAGACTCTGAGGCTCAGGAGACTCCTGCGCCTGGAGGGCCTGTGCTTTGGGCAGGATGGGGATGTTACTGGCCTCTGAAAATGCCTCGGCCAGAAGTCCTGCATTTCCAGCTTTGGTGCAATTTTGAGAAAAGACAGAACTTTCTTAAGACACTCCGGATTTTTCCATGCAGGTTTCTGTTGACAGCAATCCCACTTTGCATCTGTGAAATTTGCTAATGCACAGTTCTGTTCTAATGCATCGTAAGGCGTTTTATGACATTCGTGCAGCGCTGTTAAAGAACATGCTTACAGCTGGGAGAATGAACAACAAGCCAGGAAGAGCGTGGCGCAGGCTCTCAGGAAAGTTCCATCTTCTCCTCACTTAGCGCTGTTAACCATCGTGCTTGGGGTTCCTTGACTCCAAGACGCTATCGGGGCTGCCCTTTGTGAGAGAACGTGCATCCCCCCCACTCCTTGCAGCTCTCTCTGGGCTCTGAGATGGAGGTTGAGGGAATGCCGAGTTTCTCTGCCCTTCCACAAGGTAAGAAGGTAAGGGGGGCTCCGGGTGTCTCCCGCTTCCCTCCCTGGGGAAAGGTAACACGAGAGAGCCTTCTCTGACTGCCTCTGTGTGGACACTGTCCTCTTGGGCAGTTGTGTTCCAAGATCATTGTATCATTGGCACTCCTTCCCCAGACGGCCAGAGAAAGGCCACTGGCAGAGCTGAGGCACGTGCACCTCGCCCTTTGCAGGGGGGGTGACCTCAGTGGCCCTCCAATCCAGCCACCGGTCCAGTGGCCGTGGTGATGAAGGTGGGTCCTGGGGACACTGACAGATCTGCACAGTAGGGCGTTCCTGGTCTTGCCCAGATCGTTCGGGGCTCCCGCTCCACCTGCACGACGCACCTGAGCTCAGATTTGTGCCTTACTTGCTACCCTCTGTCTCCTTTGCCTGGGATCAGCATCTTCTCTGTGATACTGCTTAGATTTTCTTTCCTGCCCGTGGGTACCGGCCCCTGACTGGGGTTCAACAAGAACGATGGGAAAGGGCAAATGGCCATAGGGTCTGCGAGGACCAATCTGGCTTATTTAGAAATTTAAATTTGGTTTTAAGTCATAAAAGGACCATAAAAACCTTACACTAAATAAGGAAAACTATCCCATTCGGGGGCCTAATCCCGGCCCCGTTCTGCTCGGCTTCTCTCCCTCATTACACTTGTATAATACAGTATGGTTTCTACTGAGTCTTTCCTTCCTGTTTTTACACTTATTCTTGCTTCACTGACTTTATTATCGGCAGATTTTTGCAGCATTTTTTTTTAACACAGCCATAAATACTATTCAGTTCAACAAATGCATACAAATGGTTTCCATTAGAATTTTAATCTACTCTCAGAATGAAAGAAAAGCTTAATATAAATCTTTTTAAATTACCAGAACATAAATTCAGACAGGGACAGCTCCACCTAGACTACACACAAGGGGTCACATCCTGCTGTCCTCACTCATAAATTAATTGAGGTCTCTTGCCGCCGTAAACGAACAGTGCATCCTGGAAAGATCATATCTGTCAAGATTGCAGATTGGTTTCCCTCAGACTTTGTAAAAGTCACAGCTTACAATACCTTCATTATGCCGATGAGAATGGCTGTCTCCCCAACTGGAAAGAAATAGGTGTTTTGTTCTGTTGGACCAAGATTTACAGAGAGCAATTTTCCTCCATGCAGGAGATATGACAAACCTGCTGGAAAAAAAAAATGTCATTTCACAACTTCTTCCATTCCATCACCTTTTTTACTGCTCGATGTAGATTCTCTCCCCTGTGCGAACGGGCTGATGACATTTAATGGCTAAGTGAGGTATTCACCGGTGAGTGGAGGCACCTTTCCGAGGGACTAAGTCACAGAGCTGGCGTTCCCTCCTGTGTCCCCTCCCAGAGGCTGTCTGGAGATGCCCCAGCACCCGCCAGTGCCAGGGAGCGAACCCCAGAGCCCCTCGAGCCCTCAGACCAACTTGAACTTGAGAACTCGTGTGAGTCTCCACGGGCTTTTGCAAACTGCAAGGTTGGCTCAGTTTTCCTCCTGTTGGCTGAGCCCAAGAACCATCCCACAGCCCTCTGTCCTTGGACACGGGCAGCACGCTCTCTCCGGAGGACACCTGAAGGGCAGAGATTGGGCTTAGGTTTTTTTCCATTTCCTTGTGTCATAACCTAATGCTGTGGGAGCAGAGCTTCTGCATATTAAATTGCCTCTTAGCCACCGGGAAGGGGGTGGCGTGATCCGTGGAGAAAAAGCTCCTCATATAAATGTATGATGGCTGACGCCCACCCCACCCCCCCCCCACGGAGGAGAAAGGGCAAGATGAGCTTGGAGACCGGAGGTCAGCAAACCCCGGGAAACGTCACTCTTTACAGTCACTTCGCTCTCCTTGAGTCAAGAGCCACTGTCCTGGGTTTCTGGCCCCCAGCATCCCCATCGCAGGCCTGTCACCGCCTGATCTTGGGGCCATGGCTGGCGACAAGGCCGAGGAAGTCTATGGGGGAGTGTAGGGAAGTGCTTTGTGTTCTGAGAGCTTCTCTGCAGTGCGGGTACCAGAGAGAAAGCTAAGGCAAAATTAAATCTCTCTCTTGCCAAGGAGGAGGGACTGGATCTTCGACAGCAATCGTGCTACAGAGGAGGCTTCCTACCTGGGCAGCCACTTAGCTGCTCTGGGCAGGGAGGGCTCGGCCACTGAAAAGCTTAGTGGGGCGTCGTCTCTATGGGCTGGTGAGGTTTTTGCAAAATCTTTCTACAAATGATGATCTCTATCCACATAAAGTGGCATAATAGCCTCTTCGCTTTACTGAGTGGTGCTGGCTGTTCAAGTGCTTATTTCTTGATTCTTAGCCCATTTGCTTTCCATTAGCAGTAATTCCAAGCCTGCAAAACTCCAATTACCAAGTGATAATAGAAATGCTGCTCTGCCTCGAATTCTCTGGAGAGTGGGGGTCCAGAGCTGGCCCGGGTTCCATGCACAGCCCCATGATGATCATAGGGTTGCCATGAGAGCGAGACATCTGGCCAAGCCCTGGGTGGAAGGCCCCAGGGCGGTGGGGGGGCGGTATTCATAGCAGGTGTCTGCCCCGCAGGGTCCTAGGAAGCTGGGCAAAACAGGAAAGGTGCCCTTGACACAGTCCAAGGCACTCAGGCAGAGAAGTGGCATCTGGAGGGGCCCGAGGCATAAAGCAGGATGCTGAACGTGTGCATCTTTGAATTCTCGAGTTGGGGGCAAGGATGTCCGGGGAGCGAATGAGTGTGGAGAAAGACGGGGATACAGTCAGGTGGGGCAGCTCAGAACTACACCCAAACTGAGGAGAAATTTCACCCTCTCTGAGAGCTTCTCTGCAGTTCGGGTACCAGAGAGAAAGCTAAGGCAAAATTAGCCCCTGGTGACCACACGTGGCGGGGGGGGGCGGTGACTGGTTTTGTTTTTGTTCTTTATTGTGTTAAAACACACATAACATAAAATTTACCACCTTAATCATTTCTGAGTATGCAATTCAGTAGTACATTCACGTTACTGAATCCAATCTCCAGAACTTTCCATTTTGCAAAACTGAAATTCTGTATCTATTGAATCCCCCCCCGCCCCAGTCCCTAGTAACCACTTTCTACTTTCTGTCTCTATGACGTTTAACTACCCCAGATAGCTTCTATAAGGGCAGTCATACAGTATTTGTCCCTTAGTGACTGGCTTACTTCACCTAGCAAAATACTCTCAAGGTTCATCCGTTGTAACATACGTAAGGGTTTCCTTCCTTTTTAGGGCTGAATAATATTCCACTGTATATAAATATTCTACATTTTGTTTCTTTGTGATGGAGTCTTGGGTTGCTTCCATTTCTTGGCTATTGTGACAAGCACGTGTCTCTCTTTACAGAGGACACAAGTCAGACATTATAGCAGCACTCGGGAGTCCATCGGCCCCATCTGGCTCCTCCTGAAAAACTAGCACTCTCTTCTCCTAAGATTTCCTGCCCTTGGCACCAAGCTCCCTACACCCTGATCCGCGCTGTCCCGACTTCTTACTTTCCACGGCTCCTATCTCTCCAAATGTCCCCATTTTCCCCCCTCCTTCTGGCCTTCAAGAATCACTATCTTTTTTTCCACTTCTTCCTCACCCTTAAAACTACTCACCACCCTTAGCTTGTTTCACTCCCAAGCCCTTCCACTGTATTTCACCAAGCACTGGCCTTGCCTCTCCCCGATTTTTCTTCAAATGTTCTCAACTGCAAGATCCTCTCCTAAATATACTAGAAAGGTAGACTTGTCTAACTTTTACCTATTTCATACCCAGGGACAGATCCCAACAGACAACAGAGTTTCTGGTGCTCCTGATATTTATTTCTGTGATTTAGGGTTTTTTTTGTTCAGACACGTGTACACCTATCCCCCTTGGAAAGCTCATAATTCATTGCCACTGCCATCCTGCGAAAACACAGAGACCTTCTCACCTGAGCAAATTTCATCCTAACCGTGTGTCCTCCCTAACAATGAAAAGTAGCAAAGAAAGTGAGGAGCAGGTGCTCTCTCTCGCTGGTCCCTTCAAACCTTTTCTGAGTGGCTCCTCACTCAAATTGTTAATCATGGCACCAGCCACAATTTTTTTTTTCAGATTTTTAAAAAAATTAGCAGACTTAAGTGTTCAGAGCAGTTTTAGGTTTACAGACGGTACAGAAAGTTCCCACATTACCCCCTCAATTCTCTAGCCCACACCCCCAGAAATTCTCCTATTATTAACATCTTGCATTAGTGTGGTGCATTTGTTACAACTGATGATCCAATACTGATATATTATTACGAACCGAAGTCTATAGTTTACCTTACGGCTCACTCTGTGTTGTACATTCTATATGTTTTGACATATGTATAATGACATGTATCCCACAGTATCACATGGAATAGTTTCGCTGCCCTAAAAATCCCCTGTGCTCCACCTATTCGTCCCTCCCTCCCCCGGAACCCTGGCAGCAGCCATATTTAAAATCACTTTAGACCAATTTTCCTGAGACTTTCTACTGGGAGTCTCTGATATGTTTGGCCTCACGTGTCCTTGCTTAAATCCAAAGGAAGGGAGGGGGCATTGATAGGACGCAGTGAACTATAGTTCTCCTGCCAAGGTTTCTGCCTGAGAGGCCACACACCAGGAGATTGGAGCAGAAAGCTGATTTACAAATCCTTTCTTCTATGTCATTGAGAAAAAATAGTTCATTGCAAAAAAAAAAAAAAAAAGTGGGGCGGGTTATGTATTCTTCTGACACACCATTCCAAAACAATGTAATGAAATAAATGTTCGTTACATGGACAATGGTTGTATTTAAGTTATTAGATGATCAGAATTTTTTTTTCTCCTACAGTTCTCAGTTGTGATCAGCTCTCCCCAGGCCTTCTTGGGACTGGGTCCTGAGTCCAAGAACTTCTGGCTTCCTTCCCCTGAGCAGCAGCTCCAAGACACACTGGCAGGTGTCTCTACCCTGCTGTCTTAGGACCAGTCCCAGCTCTGGGCCCCAAGTTTGGGTTACAGCCTGACCGTTCCCAGTCCTGGCAATTATGTTACCTGCCTGATAACCCAGCCCCTGGAGAACAGGTAGCCCTGCCTCGCTCGGGCAGTTCTCCTCTCCAGGCCCTGCCCTAGTGGCCGGGGCCCCGTCACCTGCTGACAACCTCTCCCCACTGCCCATTTAGATGGCCCGCTCCTGGATGCCCCTCACTGGCTCCCCTGGGCCTCCAGTCATCCTCACTCTGGGCTTGTCCCCTCTCTTGCCCACTGTGTCTCGGACAATCAATGGCTCTCCCTCCCGTCCATCATCCCTGGACCCAATCACTGAGACTCCTCACTCACTATTTGATTCTAACTCCTCTGAGCCTATCTCAAAGCTCTAGCTGACCTATCCCCGCCTCCAGCTGTCCCACTTCAGGACAAGATCTGAGGCCAGGGTCCAGAACTTCAGTCTGCCTCTGCTGTCATTGGCCTGACCTCAGTCAGCCCTACTCTAAGGTAAGAAAGCCTCTGAGGAACACAGCAGGGGCATCATTCATAGAGAAACCAGAGGGCGGTGCTCCCAGGAGCTGTACAGCGGGGTGCCTGCCGGGTAGATGCCAAGCAGCCACCAAGGGTAGAATCATAAATACCTCTCTGGGAAGCACCTTGTGTATGGCAAGCAGAATCTCTTTACACCACCCCTCCCGCTGTGACGTTTCCCCTCCGCCCTTGGAGGGGGAAAAGAGAGTCTGCCTGAACTACAGGGAGCGTTTCTGACCAAGACTTCCAGAGATAAGTTCATCCCTTCACTCCATTAGTCATTTAATACCTATTTGTTCAGGGACGCCTGGGTGGCTCAGTGAGTTAAGCATCTGCCTTCGGCTCAGGTCATGATCCCAGGGTCCTGGGAGGGAGCCCCGCATGGGGCTCCCTGCTCAGCGGGGGGGCCTGCTTCTCCCTCTGCCTGCCACTCCCCCTGCTTGTGCTCTCTGACAAATAAATAAAATCTTTTTAAAAAACCCAAAATGAAACAAAAACCTATTTATTCAGAACTGCTCCCCACCCAGGCCCTGTTCTACGCACTAGGGAGTCGACAGAGAAGAAGAGAGACTTTGCTCCTGCTGTCTTGGGGGGAGACAAGCAGAAAACAAAAAAAGCCGACAGAATAATGAGGATGGAAGGCAACTGGGTGCTCTAGTAGAAACTGGGGGGTGGGGCTGC